TTTTTTTTTTTTTTTTTTCTTTTCAATTTCACTAAGAAAAAAAAAACGCTTCTCCCATTATCAATATCATCATCGATCATCATATAAGTTGCCTCTCGCACCAATACAATAAAACACAAAAATAAAATATAAAACAAGCTTATCAACATAACAAGTGAGGTAGACAAAAATAGCATGCAGCACTTAAATCATAGAAACATTAATTTAAAGCTAATAGTATTATATAGCAGCAGCAATATAAAATGGGGAAAAATCTTACCCGGTAGATAACAGCGGCGAGATTTCTATCAAGGGTGTCTTTATAAATATACTTGCCCAGGAAATTATCTTTAGCCGCAACCATGATTTTAGCAGTGGTGCCACCTGTTACGATGCTAAGAGGGTACCAAAGGTATACCTGCAAGGTTAGAATAGGTAATTTGAGAAAAAATAATCATAACAAAATATAATTACAATTATAAATTAATAAAAAAAATTAAGAAAGGATATGGTATTTAATGATTGATTACATTGGCCATGCGAATGAAGATAACGAATTTGGGATTCCCATCGTCTTCGAGTTTGGGCAAAGGAGGAGGTGCGGAGCGCTGGAATTGACGAGACATCATTCCCTTTTTGCCCTTGGCTTCCACCACCAGCACGTGCCGCGGTGGCGGAGCCTTGCAACTCCGCCGCGTGCGGCTCGAAAACAGAGAGTGTCTCGCCGGAGCCTCGTCGTGGAAGCGCGAACTCGAGAGAGGAAGACGAACGAGCGCGTTCAGAGACATTGCTACTTCCATTGCTCCGGAACGAGACTGAGCTTTTCTTATCCGTATCAATTTTTTTGCTTTTTTTTAGTTTTTTTTTTAATTGGAATAATTATTAGGAGGAAAAGAAGCCATACACGTGGAGGATGGAGAGGCACACACCATTTAATTTAACAAAAATAAAAATAATATAATAAATTCTCATCCTTCAAATTTTTTTTTTTTTTTTCTCAAGGAGAAATAATTTTGAGGACGAACTCAATTCAACCAACCAATTACCAAATGCCTCCTTTTGTTTCCTTCTCAAATTATATTCTCACACTTCTCAATAAAATAAATAAATAAATAAGTTTTATGGAGGAAAAAAAATTCCACGTAGATGAGTTTCTTTTTCTTTATATAACTACTCTCACACACTAAAAATTCCAGCTAAATTGATTACCGTGTGTAAATAATTATAAGAGAAATTCTATGGTACCAATGTTATTTGAGAGGGTACCGGTACAGTTTTTTATATTTTATATTTTTAATAATTTATTTAAATAATATTTATGATATTTTATTCTTTTAATTTTTAAATTATTTTATTATTTTATTTTTATTTTATATATTCTAATTTATTTGTAATAATATTATTATATATTTAAATAGTTTAATTTTAATAATTTTTTAAGTATATTTTTATCTTTTCACTTAAAATTTTTGAATTTCTATATTTTAATTTTAATAATTTTTTATGTCTACTATTTATTAATTTTTTCTTTTTTAATATTTTATAATATTATTGAAATCTTATAATTTTAAAGTTTATAATTTTATCTTACTTTTTATTTTATAAGTATAATTTGAATTATTTATTTTATAATTAAATTAATTTTTTTAAAATCTTTTATAAATTTATATAAAAATGTATTGAAACCTCTCGATCTTTGAGGGTACCGTAGTTACTCTCTAATTATAATTTCTTCTAGTTTAGTTGGTAGAAGGGTGTTTGAACTATTATTATGAACTCTCATTGTTCATATGGTTTAGTTGTGAGTGTAAATTATTATAAACTTTTGGCACCACATTCGATTCTTATACATAAAAGAAGCAAAGCTTAATTTTACTTTTGGTTTATGTAGTTTTGTACATATTGAATTTTGGTTTCATGAAAAATTTATTATAAGTTTAGTTCATTTAATTGTTAAAATTAGATAATATTAGTGCACTATTAACGTATTATTCAAAATTAAATGAAAAATGCTATCCAATGTTCGTAACGTGTTATTTAATTATTGTTAAGCAGTGTAAAGTTATTTTTATCCGTTTCTTAAAAATTACAAAGATGTTAGAATCTAAAAAAATTATGAATTTTAATTTTTTTTAAAAATACTTATTACTATTTGATAATGACGTGATATATATATATATATATATATATATATATATATATATAATTGTAACTTATCTTAATAAATACCCTGAAGTGAGACACGGTGTTGTATAATTAAATGTATATCATTAATGTCATATACTGTACCACTGTGTTCTTTTAAACACTATTTAAATATAATGAAAATTAATTTAATTTAAAAAACTTATGAATAATCTCTAAAGTTATATAAATGGATTAAAATAAAATAAAATTCTAGGTAATTAAATTAATATCAGCATAAAATAATTATATTATAAGTCTGATAAAATAAAACATTAATAATAAAAATAAATGAAAACAACATTGACATTTGTCATTAATAACAAACTTTATAATATATTACAATAGTACCCTGAAAATACTCCATTTCTTCTTTTTTATATGACCCAAATAAAAAATGTTGTTTAATTTTTTATAAAAATATATTTAAAATGTTTTTTTATTAATTAGTTTTTACAAAATACATTTAATTAAAATCATTTCTTTAAATTCAATAATTAGTTAAGGAGAAAGAAAATAATTTTGGACAAAAATATTAATTTAAGACCAAACTAATACTATTAACTAAATTAATTAACTTTACTAACATGTCCTTATTTTCAATGACACTTAATATATATATATTTTTTAATAAGGAGGTATAATTCCTTCTTATTATGTTTGTATCTAAAAGAATAATATCTTTAATCGTACGACTTTATATTTAAAATATATATTCAATATTAATCTTTAATTAAGAAATATAAATATTAAATCACTCAAACTAATGATACATAATTATAAATTCAAGTCTGGATGAAAAAAAAATGCAAAGAGTAAAAAAATTGTGCAAATAAATCACCTTCGATATACATTTCGTTTGGCCAAAAATCTTTCATATCACGGGTGTTTATTGTTGGGTTTGATTCTTTTGCCAAAAAATGATAGGATTTTAATTTGGTTTAAATTCGACTGTACTTTTTAATTTAAACCAGATTTTGAATTCAATTTAGTCGTGGTTTAATTAATGACTGGGAATAACATGACCAATTAATATCTAGATAAAATATAATTATTTAATTATATAATGTATTTTTGAAAAGTAGAAAATTAAAATGATGAAATATGTTATTATGTTTTTTATAATAAATTATATATTCAAAAAAGTTATCATCCTATTTAAAAAAAAATCAAGGAATCTTATGTAAGAAATATTAATTTAAATTTAAATTTTGATAATTACTCTTATTCTTTGGGAGACAAATTACATTGCTCTCTTTTCTATTTTGAACAATTTTCTCTCTTAAGGGAAACTAATATATAATATGCTTATTTACATGAATGTAAATGAGCATCTTTAATTTCAAACTTTTATTATTGATTTGAAACATTGAAAAGTAAAATAAAAAATCTCAGTGTCAGTGATAAATACATTTAAAAATAAAATAAAGAGTTATCAAGTTCATTTTTTTTTTTGTTACAACTTCATATATATATTTTACACATGGCAACATCGGTGTATTAGCCTTAGCTGAGATAGTAGATTGCTAAAAAAACTCTACACTTTGACTTAGTTTTTTTTTTTTTTTTTTTTTTTTTAAAATTAATTTTTTTTTTATTTTTTTTTTGGGGGGAGGAGGGCTTAAATTTGTTGCTTTTCGGTCTCATTTATTTGACACACGATGGTGTTTTTATTACTCACAGGGGGTTCACTTCCTGCTGCTTGCAAGTTTATTTTTGAAGAGGTAACAACTTCCTCAGTCAAAATCATTTTAATTGAAATGTCAAATACATGTTTTGAGGAAATTAAGGGATACAAGCTCTGGTATTACAAGAGTCGGGAAGAATTACCC